TCACCATGACTTTTCCTCACACAAATGAACAATCACAAGGCACACGTGACACTGGACACTCTTACCAGACCTCAGAAGAAACAGCCAAGGAAGCTCCCTACTGGGTCATTCTGTTTTCTTCTCCAACCAGGGAGCTGGGCCTCCTCCTTCCTTCACTGGAACCACCTAGGCAGCATCTGGGGCATCCCCATGGGGCAATGAAGGCTGTGAAGACCTCAGCAGCCCCTTCTGAATACATTTACAGTGGCCAGACCCAGGAGGCATGCAAAGAAGGGGGGTGGAGGGTAGCTGGAATGAGGGAGAGGAATTTAAAGATATGAGCACCCCAGCTGTGGACATGTCAGTTCTTTCCAATCCAGACTCACAACCCATGAGGGTCACAATCAGTGTGAGTTTAAAGAGAATAGATTAAATTGAAAGTTGAATAGATCTCCCATTAGTGAGATGTAATATTATTTCATGAAATGTTGCTTCAAAATATTTCATCAATTTTCTGCTAATATGTATATATGTCTACTGGGTTGTGATGTAAATAATAGTTCTTACAATAAAATACAGTTAAAAACAAAAAATAAGAGCCACTGTTTGTGCCCTAACGTCCACAGACAGGCCACTTCTAGCATCTTGAGCCTCAAAGATGTGAATTTCCTTCCACCATGGTATAATCACCACCTGACAGCAGGTAACAAAAAACGCAAGCCAAAGCAAAACCTTGGCAGTTAACATCCAAATATTCAGCTATTACAGAATCTGTGATATGGAAACTAACCCTGTAGCCCAGACAGCAAACACATCTCTTACTAATAAAATCCAGTTCTGCCTTCATGAAGTGGCTTAATAGCTGATAGCCCAATAATTACCTCATCTATGTTTAATTAAGGTGATGGGAAACAAGTATTGTTTATGAATCAGATTCTCTCAAACTTCTGCAAAGAAATTTCTCTGAAGTCATGAGGAATTCAATCACAGAAAGATTAAACAGTAAGACAACACTGCAAAAAATCTTTCACATTTCAGGATAAGGTAAACCTAGAAAGGTATGCTAGAAGAAATACATCATTTCTTCCCAAAATACAGTATTTCCATTATCCTTGTTTCCATTTCAGTGTGATTTTCACTTGTCCTTTCTTTTCTGGACCACCTGGACAGCAGCACCCAGGGAATCTCTGGGGGTAATGGAAGGGAAGGAAAGAGCTCTTGGCCCCTTCTAAAATTTCTTTGGAGTATTTGCACAGTTGGGGCCAGCAGCTGGTGTGCTGCCGACATGGCCGACCACGGTTTGAGTCTTGGAACCAGTGGCTTGAGAATCACACCAGGTACATGTGCATATGACCCAAAATCCTGAGAGGAGAATGGAGAAGAAGGGATTGGGACATGGCCATCCCCCTAGAGGGTGATTTCTCTTTCTATCTCTCTGTCTCTGTTTCTCTGTGGTCAGGGTACATGTCCTATAGCAAATTTTTAAAAACTAATAATAATAGAAAATAAAATTTAATAAGTATTTTTCTAAAACATTAAAGGAAAACTGACTAAAGGAATAAAGCCTTTCTTTTAAATCAACTGGGAT